GCTAAAAGATGTTTTTGTCGTGGTTAGGAAATTAAAGAATCTCTGAATGTTGTTTTAAGGTGTTTAAAAGAGAGGGGAAAATAAGCATACTGTAGTGAAGAGATAATTTAAGGAGCAATAAAATACTTGGGAGGTTGGAGGATAAAGTCTAAGGGGCAGATATTCAGCAGTCACACCAACAGCCATATGGTTGTTAAAATAATAATACTTTCAGGCAATTTCTAAGTAAGTGTTGTCATCCTGAGTCAGGGGTCCTTACTTAAACCACACTTCCTTTCCCTTGGATCATCAGGACCTCTACACTATCAGAAATTAAAGGATAACATCTAGAACAGAAGAAGCTCCACAACCTGCAGTGGTGCCATACTTGTGTGGCTGTTACTCTGGTCGTTAGATATTTTGAATGTCATCTATCAATTTAGGGCACAAGCAGAGATATTGTCTTAGAATTGAGAAATATCCAAATGGGATCAGAGACTTGGAAAGCATGAGATGTGGAAGCATTTTAGGCAATGCTTTTATTTTCTCAGTTATTAAGATATTAAGAGTAAAGAGGGACAAGGAACACTTTTGTGAGCCTGAGAGAAGGTGTTCAGTTAGCCAAAGATGTGCAGTTAGCCATTAATAGAATAGCAAATGAATTGATTTGGGCAACAAGCAGAATTAACTGTAAATTAACCATGGTTGAAATAGTGGCATGGGGGCAACAAAAGACTCTGTAGGGGGCCCTCCCTGGCAGCTCAACAGGTTAGGACACAGCACTGCAAGCTGGCCTTGCTTCAGTGCCAGTTCTATTCCCAGCCCCAGAGGTGACCCACATGGTGATGAGGCAGGCCTCTCCTGACCTGCCTGCTGCTCCCCTCAGCAGTGTACTTCATTGATCTGCCTGTTCTTCTCCCCACTCTGTCTCTGGTGAATCCTCTCACAGCCCGTGCACCTCTGGCTTGTACCCCAGTTCTGAATGCATAAATAAGTAAATATTTTAAAAAAAGAAACTGTAGGTAAGGGAATTGGGGGTTTCTAGTGGGGAATGATGATAAGAATTGGTCACAGACTAAACAAATTAAGAAAAAGTAGAAGTTACAGGGCCGAGTGAGAAGCAATACCAAGTGGTAGAATAAGTAGCTTATAGGTTTGCTGTGGTTGAAGAATTAGTGGAGTAGGGGTGTTAATGAACTGGAGTGATACAGTAGTAGATATTTGAAATTGATGAAGGATTCTAATATAGTAATGACAAATTCTAATGAATGATCCTGGAGTGTTTGGAAGGGGGAGAGTACTCATAAAATCACTGGATGTAAAGAATCAAGACCAGGTTATGCAACAATAAAATTATCAAGTTATGTGACGATGGATGCAGATGAAAGGAACTATTGTGTGGAAGTAATGAGGAAAAGTTACTTTGAGGTGGGCAGAAAACTGCCTTAGGAGAGGCAAGGGGTGATGGTGTCAGAGTATCAAAGAGGCTAAAAATAGTTAAGAACTTGGAAGAAATAGTTCTGGCAGAGCCCATAGGATACGAATACAGTCACCATGACATCTCCAGTCAGTGGGGTATAAGATGCGCAAAAAGTCATCACTGATGTAGAGGGACACTGGACTAACAATGTCCTCAGATAGGTAGAAAGAAGGCAATGTTTATAGAAGAGATGTAGGGGTTTAATGGATAACTGACTAGGAATGCTATCAGGCAGAGTAAAAAGATCTGAGTGATGGGGAAAGTCGGGAGCTAAGTAAGATTAGGCTCCCTGTCCCTGGAGGTGATCCACATGGCGCAGCAGACCTCGCCTTCTTATCTGCTGCTCCCCTCAGCAGTGTACTTTGTCCTGCTCCCCACTCTGTCTCTGGTGAATCCACTTACTGCCCCTGTACCTCGGGCCTGTACTCCAGTTCTGTATGCATAAATAAGTCTTTTAAGAAATTCTCTCTCCTGGCCCTCCCTGGTAGCGCAGTGGGTTAAAGCACAGCACTAAGAAGCTTAAGCCACTTCCACATGAGTTCGATTCCCTCCTGCCCCGGAGGTGACCACATGGCGCAGCAGACCTCTCCTGACCCACCCGCTGCTCCCCTCAGCAGTGTACTTCGTCGATCTGCCTGTTCTGCTCCCCACTCTGTCTCTGGTGAATCCTCTCACCCTCTGCATCTCTGGCCTGTACCCCAGTTTCTGTATGAATAAATAAATAAATCTTTAAAAAAAAATTCTCTCTCCTCATGCAACTTATCTTCTAGTAATACATTGCACTGATTATTGAATTTTCATAGTTTTCCGTTCTTATGACTAAACTTTCCCTATTTCATTCTCTTATTGTTATCATTCTCAATTTAACCTCCTTGAAGTGGAAAATATCATATAATTCTCTATCTGAAGATTTAATTATTGGTTCCATCTTGTCTTATAAACAAGTCCTTGCTTTTCCCTATGGCATTTAAGTTGTGATTTAGACCTGAATTACTTAGAAATTTGTATCTTTTCTGGGATACTTCTTCTTCTTTCTCTCTCTCTCTTTTACAGTAAAATTTACTATTTAGGACACTGAAAGACAAACTAGTTATAGGAATTTACCACACATTTATTTCCAGCTAAATAAATACTCAAATGTGATTTATCCATCGCCCATGGTGTTTCTAGTCCTCTGCTTGAGGGTGTCTGATCCTTAGCTGTAATTATTTGTTAAGTTTGGGAACAGATGCAGAGTAGGGGTGGAGATGAACAAAGAAAGTCCAACTGTTAGGGGAGTTTCCAGATCACCCACTTCATTAATGGTTATTTACTTTTTTTTTTTTTTTTTCCCTGTTGAGGGCAGTAGATTCCCTAAACAATAGGGATGAGTTTGTATATATTTTTCCTTTTTCTCTAGGGCAGAAATGTGGATATTTCTGGAAAACAAGCAGTGACCATTTGGTATATCTTACCATATCAATAAGAATCTAGGCAGGAAACAGAAGCCATACTCAAAATGGTTTAGTTGAAAGGAATATAATGTAAGGATGGCTTATAGTGAAATGGGTATGGAATATAGCAACAGAGAGACAGTCGCCACTACCATCCTAGGCTAGAAGGGGCACCAGAAGGAGATGGTATGTGAGAGACCCCAGATGGGAAAGAGGTTTCAGGTAGGCACGGGAGGGTCATAATATGGCAAGAACTTTGGCCTGTAAAGGGGAGGAGACAGTAACACATATCCTGACATTTCTCTCCTTCCTTCCAAGTGGTCACTCAACCAGAAAGATAAGACAAGACAACCTTGTCCATGTGTTCATAACTCAGTATTCCAGGGCAGAGTATGACAGAGAAGTGGAGAAAATAGAGTTATGAAGAGCAAGAGGGGTGGGGTGGGGGGGAGAGAGGAACTACCAAAAACAAACAAACCAAAAAACCCTGCTATTATAAATAGTCTCTTTGACCACAGGATGTTAAATAAAAAGGTCATTAGCAGGTAGGGGATTTGAAAATCCTCTCTGATATTACCTCCTTCCTATTTACTCATTGAATTTGACTGGGTGTTCTTTGTCACTAGTACAGAGGTTGCAAACTTTTTCTTATTAGGTTTCAATAGTAAATATTTTTGACTTTGAGACCTAAGAGCAAAATTGATATTATATTTTATTTGTATCACATGTAACTACTAAAAGTAGTCATTTTAAAGAAGTCATTCAAATCCAGTGGGCTGGGTTTTGCCTGTTTGTCATACTTTTGCCATACTCTAGTTTAGAATGTCTTCTCTTAATTTTTTGCTCTTCTAAAGACGGCCTTTGTTCTTTTTTCCAGATAAAACCTCCATCCTTTGACCTTTTCAGGTGACAGAAAATTACCTTTTACTAGCTTCAGGTAATCTTCATCTCTCTCTTATCTTTGTTCTGCCTTCAATTTGGCTTATTTACTAGGGAAGCCAAATCTTCCCCACAGGAAAGAGAATACTTATCTGTCATAATAGCAGGGAAGTACTCTGCTCAACCTCCCTCTTCACACACCCAATCTTAGATGAACATGTGTGGGTGGGGAGGGAAAAGAGGGGTGGAAGAGGTTCTATGATTGCACAAGCTTGGAGGAGGAGGGCTCCCCCAAAAGGAGGGAGAATTCTGTGGCTAGGAGATGCAGCCAGGAGATGTCTAATTCAGAGAGAGAAAATTGTTACAATTATAGTCCGATGTGTAACGTTCTGTTAAGAACGTCTCTGTCTGACACATTTTTTTCACTCCCAGTATCTTAATCACATCCAGTAGATATTCAAGTGTTATTGATGAATGGATGACTACGTTCCCCCAGCTGACAGTGAACAGAGTTCCCTAAAGTGGTCCATTATCAGCCGCTCTCACACTCCTTGCCTTGTATTAGCGGGTTATTTTAATGCTCCTAGGTTATCTTTTCTGTAATCTTGCAGGCAAAGAGTTCCTGAGACCTACCCAGGTCACAATAAGCATCCTGTTCAAATCTCAACCCCAGGAGCCGCACAGAATGCTGACTACACCGGTGACAGCAACGACTGTGCTCTGGGTGACCCGTGAGGCCTTTCTGTTGAGGCTTTCTGGACACAAAGCCCGCACAGAGAGCCGCGACCCTCCAGTGGGAGGGAGGCAGGGCCCGGGGGCGGGGGCACAGCGGGGCCCCAGCTTTGGGCGCGCCACTCGGCACAAAGGAGACAGCAGGGAGGCGGCAGCTGGAGCTGTTCTTCTCTCGCCAGCCACTCGCAATTGCGGTTACAGACCTGCAGCTCCCCTCCCCCTCCCCACCAGGCCCGCCCGCCTCCTTTTCTGTCTCCTCTCTCCCTCCGTACTGGACGGCCGGGGTCTATTTCCGGGCTTCAGCTATTTGGGACCGATCTGGGCCGGGCCGCTGGAGCAGGTGGCTGCGGCGGGGCAGCTGGGCCGCCTGGCTGGTGCGCCAGGGCCGGTCTCCCGCCGGCTTTGTCGCCAGCCCTGACCCTGCGGCCCGCTCGTTCCTCCGGGAACGCGCGCGCGCCGCCGGCGGGACTTTGCGCCGCGTCTGGCGCTGCTGCTGCTGCTGCGTGCGGGGAGGCGCACGGGGCCGTCGGCGGCTTGGAAGCGGGCGGCGAGGGGCAGCCAGGACCCTGGCCCAACATGGCTGAAGTCAGCATCGACCAGTCCAAGCTGCCCGGCGTCAAGGAAGGTAGGCGCAGGGCGTGAAATGAGCGCGGGCCCACCCCCTCGCCCCAGCTGGGGTCCGCGTGCCGGGGCGTAGTCCGTTCGCCCCCCACCCCAGGCCCTTGCATTGCGCCCCCTGATGCTGGCTTGGCGTGGACGTGGAAGGGGGGTTGAGTTTACGCTGTACTGTGGGACCTTGGGCAAGTCACGTTCCAAGGCTTAGTTTTTACCTGTGTAAGGTGATGGGGGTGGGGGTGGGGGTGGCGGAGGGAGAGCCCGGCGTTACCCGCAGCAAGTGGTTGTGCAAATGTGCTAGTAATTAGCAAAGCCCTTGGTGAACCCGAACGCGAGAGAGCTGCGTAAATCGGACTTATTTGTGTTCTTACAAATCCAGGCCCAGTCTTGCTGGCTTGAAGGCTAGGAAGTGGGGAGGGGTTGACATTTAGTTCCGTGTGGAGCCTTTGTTTTGAAACTTGACTCTTTCCCTCCTTCTCTACATTGCCCAGTCCAGTTTTTTTTCTGGTCGACTTTCCCACCTTCTTCAAGATTTAAAAGTTTAGTCCTGGCACTGCTCAGCGCGGGCTAGAGGGACAGGAAGCTGCAAAAAAAAAAAAAAAAAAAAAAAAAAGGCATTGAGCAAGCGGGAGCAGGAGATTGACTGATGACCTTGATTTTTAGTGGATCTCTGTACTAATATCCAGCCAACAGCAGGTAGCCCTGGATTTTCCTTACCTGGAACACTTTTTAAAATTTAGATCTTGGGTACGGGATTACCATATCTTTAGTTGTCTTTGCCTATTCTTTGGCTCTAGGAAGCATCAGAAGTCCCCGAGTGCTGTCCAGTGCCTGTGAAGCTCTTTGTTGTGGACGTCATTCGTTTCAACTGAGCATTGTGGTCTGAAATGTCTTGGGAATGTGGAATTGAAAATAAGAATCATTGCTTTCTTGGAACTGCCTGTTTCACTGTCACTTTGATTTGACTCAGATGGTTTTGTGGGGTGCTTGGGACTCCCCCCAAATTCCCGAAAGTCTAAATGCTTTCTTTCTCAGAGTTCCAAACATTAGAAGACAGTCAACTGGTTTTAACTAGAATACTTATGGGGCAGGACCTATCCTATTGTTCCTGAACTGTTTTGGATCCTAGGTCTGGGATTTTACCCCTAGTCTTTCACCTAGTTTTGGTGAAGATTCTGACATTTATGTGCAAATGTAGGTCTCACAGGCAGTGTCAAGACTTTGGCACCCAAATGATGGAAAGGCAAATCTACACTTGAAAGCCCTACTCTTTGAGGTTGCCTGGTTGCTATTAGCCTTCTGAGTATGAATTTGTTTATCTCTAGAGAAGATGTGATTGTTGTAATAATGTGAAGTGCTTCCTTGGGGTGGATGAAGAGTTGAATGAAATTGGAGTTCACGTAAAGCACTGCTTATTTAGTGCTGTGATTATACCCAGTGCCCTGTACTTATCAGTCAACTGGAGTAAGCTTGAAAGGCACTTTCTGTACATTTATACTGTTCTTAGTTCATCTTGTTTCTAACAAGACACATGATTTGTTCTACCATATTTTTTCTTAACGGAGTCAACAAATACTTTACATCTAAAAACTCAAGATTTTTCTCTTCCTGAACTTTGGAGTTTAATGTTTTCAAATTGGCTTTCATTTTGCACAGTGTGGTATTTGGCAATCCAATTTTCCTAATATGCCAAAGTGGCAAGGAAGTTCTCTGTGACTTATTCACTTAATTAGAATTCAATATTGATTAATTTCGAAGGTGGGCAGAAATTGTTTAGAACATCTTTGAAAGTATCGGGCTTTTTGGGTCCAAGATCATCAAAGGAAATGGTGTATTATATACTAGGGAGGTCCTAATGGCGGTGGTGTTTTTCATCTGGTGTTAGTCAAGTCTAATAAAAGTGTATCTTTCTCTAATTTAGCTCTTAATTGTGGCCCAGTTACTCCCTGACAATGTCTTTAGACCCTAATTAACCAGAATAAAGCTCATAAACATAGACATACAAAAACATAGGTAAAACATACAAGATAGTTGACACTCTTCTTCCTACTGAAACTACAACTCAATTTGAAAAAGAAATGTAGCAGTAATTTGCTTAATACTCTAGCACAGATTTTTGAATCCCCTTTTATAACATCTGTCCCCTCCAGTTCTGTTTTTCAGTCTAAACCTTTGATAGGTTTATGTACAATTGTAACTTGGAGTAATGGAGTAGATTCCAGCAGACATTGAGGATAGTAATGCAATGGATGGATGTCTGTTCCTTCCTGCTGCCTTTTCTTTAGGAATGGTGGGGTGCCCTATGACCTTTGTTGTGAATGTCTCGATATAGGTCATGGGTAGGAGCTGACATTAGGGAAAGGGAAATACTGGAAAAATTTCCAAGTTAAAATCCATTGTTTACTAAATTTTAGGGTAGTCTAGTCAATGATACTCATCACTTGGAAAGACCTTTAAAAAATTATGGCAGTATTTTTACATTGGGAAATCACTCTTAAAATAAGGAACAAAGGGAGACATTGTATGTAGGTGAAAAGAATTAAGTCTAACTAAATATCACCACCCATCATTATTTCTTGTTTAAGAGCACATTTGGAACACCTGAATACTTTTTTTGTAAAGGGAATACTCTTGCCAGTGTTTAGTAACAATGCTTTATTTCTTCTAAAACGGCTGGGATCTATGCATGATTTTTAAAGAGAATTTGAGGTAATTCTCAGTCTTTTTTTTTTTAATCAGTAGATGTATAACTCAAAGTTATCACAATTTATGACTGTCAGACAAAGATAATTATTTTTCAGCAATGTTGTGAAAATTTACTAGATTACATTGGGGCTGGGACTACATTTTACTAAAAGTAAGTAATTTTAATCAATTGACAAACTTTACTGGGGGCTAGTTTCAGCTTCTTGGCTGAATTTTTTTTGCCTGAAGCACAGCCCAGACTCCACTTTCCTTTGTTTTCCCCCTCCAGACAGACTCCCATTTAATACTACTTCATTTGAGTTGCTCATTTGTCATTACAATCTTACTCTTCTCCCTCCCAACAAAGATTTCATATTATCATAATGTTTTGGTAGGAGAGCATTAACCTGTCCATCAAAATCATTTCTAAACCCTTTTAAACTTTATATCAACTCTTCTGCAATTTTTTACACATTAGAGTTTTCCCAGTTTTAGCCATTTATCACTTGTATTTCCAACTTGCCCTTCTCTCACTGCCAACCTTTTTTTTTCTTTCTTTGAAGCTATTTGGTATTATGTATTTTTACTGTTCTGCAGATGGAAAGTCCCACAATCTCCAAAGTTGGTTAGCTGTACTTGTGAGAATGAGCACTTAACACATGAAATCAGTGCACCTAGTACTGACATTTCTTAAGCAAAGGTAGTCAGCTAGCTATTCTGAAAGCAAATCCTTTTTCTTCAGTGTAGAATACAACTTAGTAGATTTTCAGAAATGTGTCTAGAAAATGTTGGTTCATTTTAGGTTCTGGACCTCCCAATGGTATAGTGGCATAAACTGCATTCGTGACATAAATTCAGAACTTTAAAGGAAAAAGTATGAAGCCTGGTACAGTACAGAGATCGAAAGCCTGTCTTGTGTGCATCTAGGCTGATGGCACTGACTGCTCAAACTTTTTCCTTTTCTTCACATTTCCCAAGCAGTTTTGTTTTATATTAACGAGACCATGATCCCTTAAACTGGGAGATGTGTGTCTTATTATCCTTTACATAATCAGCAAATATTCGAATGAGTGAATGAATAAAATACATTATTAGATGCTCCCGGTTGGTTTAGGGATACTATATTTGACATAATTTATACTCCTTCTCAGAGTATAAACATGTAAAGAGCAGCTAAAATGGCCCATTGGTATCATATATCACAATGCCAGAATTAAATTTGTAAAATCTTATTTTTCTCATCGGATCACCTTATAAATGAGATCTACTCAACATGGGGAAATAAAATGTAGACATTTCATGCAATTTTTCTCTTGGAGGTTATCATTAAAAATAAAATTTTAGTAAAAATATTTCTAAAATACTATTTTGTGTTTTATTTTTTTAAATTAGAATGATAGACTAAATTATTTCCTTAGGTCCAAAATAAACACCATACTATTTGGAAGATGGAAGTATTCCTAGATACATTTTTTTTATTATTTATTCATACAGAATTGGGGTACAGGCCAGAGATGCGGAGAGTGAGAAGATTCACCAGGGATAGAGTGGGGAGCAGAACAGGCAGATCAACGACGTACACTGCTGAGGGGAGCAGCGGGCCGGTCAGGAGAGGTCTGCCACGCCATGTGGTCACCTCCGGGCAGGCGGGAATCGAACTCATGCGGAAGTGCCTTAAGCTTCTTAGTGCAGTGCTTTAGCCCGCTGCGCCACCAGGGAGGGCCCCTAGATACATATTTAAAAAAATTATTTGCTGCATGCCACCTATTGTATGAGGAAAGTTCCACAACAAAAAGTGCCCAGTGGTACATGTACATGTTCTTGGAGAGGAATTTGTGTAAAGGAATTGTTGTAAAATTACCCTCTAAGTTCATGCAAATGCCTCTCACATAAGAGAGGGAAAAAAATCTTGAAGTGTGTTGCTTTCTACAGGTATATAGTACTTCTTAAAATGATTTTTTTTTTCCAAATGGATGTAGCTGCTATTCGTGTAATAAGAATTCTTTTATTAAGCATTTCTGAGATCATTGAAAAAAATTTTTTTTAACTAACAGGTACTTCAAGGGTGAATTCTCCCATGTGGGAAGCTGTATAGTTAATTGGTATTTTCTTTAAAATGGTCGTAGGGTAGAAATCATTAAAAATCACTGATCTGAGCCAATGTCTTCATTTGCCAGGTGAAAAATCTGGTGTCAAGGGTGGGAAAGTAAGTTGTACCAAAAGACTAAAGGCTAAATAAAGAGCTAGTTATTGGCACACTGAGGCCTAGAATTAGGAATGTTTAAAACTGAATATTCACAGTGTTATTAAATCTTCCATTCTCTT